GCCCCTCGCTCGTTCACCCCAAGGCAGCCTGGCCGAATGGCCCGCCTGGGCTGCCTTCACGCTCCCCCCCCTCACCTCCCAGGAATGCAGAGCTCACCAAAGCCTGGGCCTGTCTCCTTCCTCCAGACAGAAGCCGCCAAAACGCAACACTCACACCCAGGGCTTTTTTTTGTAGGAAAAGCCCAGCAGGAACTCATTAGCATAACAGACCACACCCAACACCAGAAACTCATTAGCCTATTAGGACACACCCCTGACAGCACCGCTCATTAGCATATTAGGCCACACCCCCGTGTTGCCAGAAGTGTGGTCATCCAGCCACACCCACCTTTTGCTTCTTATTCTGTTTACTTTGCTGTCAAAACCCTGGGCTTTTTTGGTAGCAGGGACTCCTTTGCATGTTAGGCCAATACTAATGAGTTTCTGTTGTTGGGTGTGGCCTGTTATGCTAATGAGTCCCTGCTGGGCATGGCCAGCTCAGGAGCCAGCCGGAACTCTGTCCCTGTGCGTTCCTGCCCCAAAACAGCCCTGCTCACACCAAAGGCAACCTCGGCTGACGTGGCAAAGCCAGCAAATCTGCACCCCCCTCGACGGCAGCCACAAGCTGATGAGAGGGGCAGCGAATGCGAACTCTGCTGCACGGGGAGGCTCTGACTCTGCTCCCTTCAAGCTTGTATAGGGGGCTAAAGGAGGGGTCAACCCCCCCCCGCCCCAGCTCAGCTGCAGGGGCAAAGAGAAAGGGACCCTGTGGGGCTCCAGTGTTGGGCCTGGGCTGGCTTCTCTGTCCAAGAGGGAACGGAGGCCGGGTGGGCAAAGTCACGTCCTGCACACGCACACACGGGCATGCCAAATACCATCCTGGCCAGAACCCCCGACTTTGGGCATCGAGCCCCTTGCCAGGACCAGCCCAAGAAGTCTTGCGGTGCTGTGCCACACGGAGCTGTCGGCAGCAGGACTCCTCCCAAAGGACGCAGCTGGGGCCCGATGACCAGGTGATGCGCACCCAAGCTCCAGGTGAGACGGACACCAGGCGGGAGGGGGAAGTGAATCCCCTACCTGGCCCAGGAAGACAACCCGCCCGTCCGGGGGTCGGGTGGCGCGCCAGGGGCAGGCCGGGGGCAGCGGGCAGGAGCCCCGGGCCGGCTGGGCCAGGGCCCTTTTGTTCTCGCAAATGATAAAGGATGTCCTTAAAAGGAAAAAATCACAGGCCTGTTTCCATACTTAGCCACTCCGCCGCAGCGACAGCAGCAGCAGCAGCAGGGAATACAGCGCCCAGCCAGGGCAGCCGGCGAGACCAAATTAACTCAAGGGCAAGCAAGGGGACCGCTGGCAGGCAGGCCCGCCTGCACTCCTGGGCCGAGGGGGACAGCTGAAAGCGCCGGGCAGAGACCGGGCCCTTGCCCCGCCAGGTGCGGCGCGGCATCTGGGAGAGGGGGAAGCCAACTTTCTGCACCGCTGGAGAACGACCCCCGCCTTCCCCTCCAGACGCCTCCACTTGAACGACCCACGCCCGGGCCGCTGCTCCCATGCCCACAGCCCTTTCCGGAGATGGCACAGAAGTGGTTCTGCCCCCAAGCACCCCACACACCCCGGTGCATAAGGCCCCAGAAATCCCCCCCTTCCCCTAATGCCGCCTTTCCGGTCACACTGGCACCCTCCCCCGGCACAGAGCTCTTCTGCGCCCAACGTGGGGCCAGGCCCCGTCCAGACCCGGGTGGGCCCCCCACCCCACCCCCCAAGTGCTTCTCCCCCACTGTCCACACAGGAGGGCTCGGCGGCCTCAGCCCAGAGTCTGCGGGGCTTGTGAGCCAAGCAGGAGACGTTTGTCCCCCCCCCCGGGGAGACCCATTCCGGGCAGCAGGTGCCCCCCCCAGGAGAAAGCCCCTGAGCCTCCTACCTGCCGTCCCCAGGAGCAGGAGGGGGGCCACGCAGCAGCAGAACAGCCCCAGGCCCTTCATGGTGGCTGCCGGGATCTCTTTCCTCTTCCACACCGCTATTTATACCACCCCCAGCAGCACCACCGTCCTTCGGGCGCGGAGAGGCTCCCGGGGAGGAGGTGGCGGCGGCCGGCTGCCTTGGCTGCAGGGCCCTGAACAAATGGTGCCTGCTGCCGACCGACCGAGGCCCCTCCCTGCCCTTCCAGCCCCAAGTGTCACTCACCGAGGAGGAGGCACACCAGGCCCCAAATAGGGAGCAGGGAGGGAGGGGGGAAGCCTGGGACGGCAGAACCGGGAGGAGGGCAGAAGTCCCCGGTGATGGTCGGATGCCTGACCGCCGTTCAAGTTGCTAGTCCTCCTTGAGACAGGCGGGCGACCCCGTCGGGTTTTCCAGGCAAGAGACATTTAGAGGGGAAGGTTGCCGTTGCCTAGGGGGCCGCGGTGGCTCAAGTGGTTAAGACGCTGAACTGCAGGCTTGGAAGTTCGGTAGTTTGAGACCAGAGTGCCGCATGACGGAGTGAGCTCCCGTCTCCGGCCCCTGCCAACCGAGCAGTTCGAAAGCAAGAAACTGCAAGGAGATAAAGAGGGACCGCTTCGGTGGGAAGGGAACAGCGCTCCGTGCACCTCGGCGTCTAGTCACGTCGGCCACATGACCACGGAGAAGTCTCCGGACAGCGCTGGCTCTTCGGCTTGGAAACGGAAGCCTCTACCTTGCCATTGCCTGCCTCCACTTCCTTGGTGGTCTCCCGACCGAGGGCTACCCAGGGGCCAACACTGCTTAGCTGCTGAGATCCAACAAAATCTGGCTCGGGTCGGGGCAAGAAAGCTTATGTACCTCGGAAAACAGGGTTGGGTCTTCCGGGTTGTTCTGGACTTGGGAGTCCTGCTCTGGAATCGGGGAGGGAGGAGGGGGCTCAGGTGTCAGCACGGG